CCCGCAGCAGCCCTGGGGGCCCCCCCCGGGTTGGGGGCCCCCTCGGGGGCCCCCCAGCTGGGGCCCCCCCCGCAGCTGGGGGCCCCCCCGCAGCTGGGGGGGCCCCCCCTGGGCGCGGGGGGCCTCCTGGCGGGGGGCCCCCTGGGGGGCCCCCTGGGGGGCCCCCCCGCCCCGCTGGGCCAGCTGGGGGCCCCCCTGGGGGCCCCCCAAATGGCGTACACGGAGGCGTTTATGTTTCCTTTGGAGTGTCTCGGGAGAAACGGGCGAATATCTCGGAGGTATGGTTTGCTGCTGGGGTGTGGGCGGGGTGTACGTACAGCTGACTTCCTGGGGGAGAGCAGCAGCAGCAGCAGCAGCTGCAGCAGCAGCAGCAGCTGCAGCAGCAGCAGCAGCAGCAGCTGCTGCAGCAACTCTACCGCTGCAAAGCAGCAATTGTTGATGCACTCTCTCATGTGTCTCCAAAGAAAACAGCACAAATGAGGGCCTGGGCCCTCGCGGGCTGTTTGGAGACAACCCTGAGGGAGCTCGGCATCCAGGCCTTCCAGGTGAGGGTTTAGGGTTTAGGGTTTAGGGTTTAGGGTTTAGGGTTTAGGGTTTAGGGTTTGGCGCGGAGGCGCTGGGGTCGCTGTTTCCGCGGGAATTGGACGGAACTTGGACCAAACAAACGAGCTGATTAATTTAATTAATTTAATTTAATTTAATTTAATTTAATTAATTTAATTAAATTAATTATTTATTTATTTATTTATTTATTTATTTATTTCAGGTCGAAGAAATCAAAAGCGGCAGCTTCGAGGGTTTCCCCCAACCCACTCTCACCGACGACGACCAGCCAGCAGCCCAAATTCTGCGGAGGGTTACAGACCCTTTCAGCAGCAGCAGCAAGAGCAGCAGCAGCAGCAAATACATCCACTAGCAGCAGCAGCAGCAGCAGCAGCAGCAGCAGCAGCAGCAGCAGCGCGTGGCGTGTCGCGGTCGCACCGAACTCGGTGCGAGCAGCAGCAGCGAAAGCAGCAGCAGCAGCAGCAGCAGCACAAGCAACTGCAGCAGCGGCGAGAGCAGCTGCAGTTGCTGCAGCAGCAGCAGCAGCAGCAGCAGCAGCACACTCGCGGGGCCAAAACTCTTTTTGTGTCTCTTTCGGGGCTTTGCTGCCCGCAGTGCTGCTGCATGCGCTGCAGCGGCAAATAAGGCCGTGAGGGTTTTTTAGGTTTAGGGTTTAGGGTTTAGGGTTTAGGGTTTGTCGAGCGGCAGCGAAGGAACCCCCTTTCAAGTGCCATTTTCCGATGTGAGCTCTGCGCGTGGAAACCCTAAACCCTAAACCCTAAACCCTAAACCCTAGTTTTTTGGAAACCCTAGGGAGAAAGCAACTGCTGAGGTGTACAGACACTTGCTGCCAAACCCTAGGGAGGTTTTGTTGCTTTTCGCTTTTGGTATTTTTAAATTTCTTTTCTAGATTTGCTTCTTTCTTCCGCGGAATCATTAGGGTTTAGGGTTTAGGGTTTAGGGTTTAGGGTTTAGGGTTTTGAGTTCGGTTGGCAACACAGGGCCGCAAAGGCTGTTTGCGGCCCTGCACATGCCCTAGGCAGCAAGCGGGCGAGTTGCTGCTGCTGTTGCTGCTGCTGCTGCTGTTGTTGCTGCTGCTTTTGCTGCTGTTGTTGCTGCTGCTGTTGCTGCTGCTGTTGCTGCTGCAGCAGCTTCTGCTGTTGCTGCTGCAGCTCTTGCTGTTGCTGCTGCAGCAGCTTCTGCAGTTGCTGCTGCAGCTCTTGCTGCAGCTGCAGCAGCAGCAGCGGCTGCTGCTGCTAAGGCCCAGGGAGTCAAAGCAACCCTTTTAACCAGCTGCGCGAGGAGACTTCGCGTTTAGGGTTTAGGGTTTAGGGTTTAGGGTTTAGGGTTTAGGGTTTGTTTTCGAGCTTCCGGTGGTATCTGCGCACCACGTGTCTGTCTCCGTCATTCTTCAAGATGCAATACTGCAGCAGACCAAAACCCTAAACCCTAAACCCTCGGCTGCTAGAGACCCTAAACCCTAATGTCTGGGCTCCAAACCCTAAACCCTAAACCCTGAACCCTCGAGTCACTCGCTGCTCAAGCCGCCCCGGCCAGCGCTTAGAACCCCCAAACCCTAAACCCTAATAAACCCTAAACCCTAAACCCTAAACCCTAAACCCTCGCCGACCTGCGCCAAAGTAAGGGGCCCCTTTTCCTTTCCCTGTGGATCTTCAGTAAGCAAAATCCGCGTCATGTATAGTGTCCCTGCGGCACCCCCAAACCCTAAACCCTAAACCCTAAACCCTAAACCCTAAACCCTAACGGTTTCCCGGAGCAGCACCGCATTCCCTTCGCCGCTGCTTCCTCGCCCCGCACCCTCCAGCGCCCAACGCCCCGAGTCTCGGGTCTAGGGTTTAGGGTCTAGGGTTTAGGGTTTAGGGTTTAGGGTTTAGGGTTTAGGGTTTAGGGTTTAGGGTTTGGGACCTCGACTCATTTGATACTTCACAAACAAAATCCCGTCAATCTCCGCAGCCAAAAAGTTCCCTTCGGTGCAGCCTGGAGTTATATGCCGCAGCGGCGCATGCGGCACGACTTCCTCCAGCTGCGCGCAATTAGGGTTTAGGGTTTAGGGTTTAGGGTTTAGGGTTTAGGGTTTAGGGTTTGGGGTTTAGGGTTTGGGGTTTAGGGTGGCTTGGGGTTTGGGCTTGGGGTTTGGGGTTTCTGCGCAGGGGAGGGGCGTTCAAACTTGAGACGCTGCCGGCTACGGGAGCAGCCTAGGGTTTAGGGTTTAGGGTTTAGGGTTTAGGGTTTAGGGTTTAGGGTTTAGGGTTTACGGGGACGTGGGGCTTGGGAATCCCATCGAAGAGAATGTGGCGGGGGCAATCGGCGCGGAGGGCTGAGTGGGAAATGAGGGTTAGGGTGGGGGCTGAGGGTTGAGGGTTTGAGGGTTTAGGGTTTGAGGGTTTAGGGTTTGAGGGTTTAGGGTTTGAGGGTTTAGGGTTTGGGGTTTCGTAGACCAGCCGAAACCGCGGCGCGTTCAAATGCAGCAGCAACTCCCAAGCAGCTCCATCATGAATATCAATTCCGAAGAACTCCACTATATCCGTCATGCCGTCAGATCTGCGCAAAACCCTAAACCCTAAACCCTAAACCCTAAACCCTAAACCCTAGGGTCTGCGGTTCCTGCGCAAGAAGCTCTTCGTGAGAAGCTCAGAGATGTGCGAATGACGCGACAGCTCTTGGCTTTCGCAGTCTGGAGCCAACGACTTAGGGTTTGGGGTTTAGGGTTTGGGGTTTAGGGTTTAGGGTTTAGGGTTTGGGGGTTAGGGTTTAGGGTTTGTGGTGACCACTGGTCTCACCGCTGGTCCTCCGTAATGATCCATTCGCCGTTGAGCCCTTCATTGTCTTTGCAGTGGTAAGCCAGAAGTTCTTCAGGTAGTTCTCCTGCAGCAAACCCTAAACCCTAAACCCTAAACCCTAAACCCCAAACCCCAAACCCTAAACCCTAAACCCTAAACCCTCGCTTTCTTCAAGCAGAGCAGCAAAGGCAAAACCCTCACCTTCTTTGAATTCTTGTCTGAGTGACTCCATTTGATCCATTTTCGCTGTAGAAGAAATCCTTTTTAATTTTCTGAAACGCGGGTTTAGGGTTTAGGGTTTAGGGTTTAGGGTTTAGGGTTTAGGGTTTGGCTCCCGCCGGTTCCTTGGCCGCTTCCAGGAAATGGAAACACCAATAGAGGGTTTGAGGGTTTTTTAGTGAAGTTAAATAACTCCGAAAATAAGAGAAAAACAAAATAGCGACTAACACGCAAATGTGGCGTGTGCTCAGGTGTACATACACCTCACGCCGCCGCGCCTTCTGGCCTTCCTTCCGGCGAAATTCTCCGTTTAAAGTTCTTTTGGAGTTAATTTTTGATTTTGAATTCAACTAAAAGGTCGAATTGGCTTTTTGGCGAGCCGCAGAAGGTCAATTTGGCCTGAAATCCACCGAGCGGCGGTGAGTCGCCTGAGCCAGGTGTCTGCCCGCCTCGCGGCGCCCGCAGAGGGAAAACGGGAACAAAACGCGAGAAATAAGTTCGAAATGTCTTTTTAAATTAATTTAAAACTCTTTTTAAATTAAATTGTCGAAAAATTCCGCCAAAGTTTTCCATTTTATGAAACTTTCCCTCTCCGCCCGCAGCCGCTGCGCGTGGCGATAAGCGAGGTGTACGTACACCCCAAAAACCGCGCTCAAAACTGGAAATAAAACAAAACCACCATTTCAGAAACTTTTAATTCTTTTGAGGACTTTTTGATGAAATAACTTTCAGTTCCGGGATTATTGAGACACTTCCACTCACTGCTTGGCCCTCAGCAGCAAACTGGAGAAAAAATAACAACAACCCCACCAAGTTGCAGCAAATCTGCCCGTATAGTAATTTGCTGCTGCTGCTGCTGCTGCTGCTGCTGCTGCGTTGCTGCTGCGGCTTGCGCTGCTGCTGCTGCCACTGCTGGTGTCGCAGCTGCTGCTGCCGCTGCTACTGTTGCTGCTGCTGATGTCGCTGCTGCTGCTGCTGCTGCTGCTAATGCTGCTGCTGCTGTTCTTGTTGCTGTTGCTGCTGCTGGTGTTGCCGCTGCTGCTGCTGCTGCTGCTGCTGCTGCGCGTCGCAGCGGGTCTGCAGAGCCGTAGAGCTCAATCCCAACAGCAGCAACAGCAGCAGCTGCAGCAGCAACAGCAGCAGCTGCAGCAGCAAAAGCTCCCAGTTGAAGCGGCTGCAGAAGCAGCAGAAGCAGCAGCAACAGTAGCAGCAGCAGCAGAAGCGGCAGCAGCAGCAGCAGAAGCAGCAGCAACAGTAGCAGCAGCAGCAGAAGCAGCAGCAGAGAGAATGAAAAGGGATTTATGCTGCTCGTACTCTATTTTCCTCAGAGCAGCAGCATAAGTGGTTTGGAAGCGCAGTTCTAAACCCTCAAACCCTAAACCCTAAACCCTAAACCCTAAACCCTGTGCTGCTGAAAATAAAGAAGCCAGATCTTTG